ATTAGGAGAGAAGCATGCAAAAACCCAGAAACCCAAAGGTAGTGAAGACCACAAGGCTTCTACAAATTGGGAAGCTCAGATCATGGAGTTAGGAAAATGGGCTGACAGACTGTTTTCCTGGTGGGTCTCTTCGGCTTGGCCTTTCAGTATATTCCTTGTTTTCTAGCAGCTGCCCAAAGAAGTAGAACCCATTTCCTCAAAGGCACATAGAAATTGCAAAGGCTGCTGCTGCTCAGGGTGAAGCAAGGAGATAAATATTGCTAAGAACTCAGTTTTGAAACTGCACACAATCCAACGTCTGCTCTGCTCCCAAGAGCTAACTGGTTGGAACTGTGGAAGCCCTGAATTTTGAAACAAATCACACAGAAATATGAGTTTTTTCATGTAAGTTAATCCACTAATAAATCAAAAAAATCTTCTTATAAAGATACTCCTTCTTTGAATTATCTTCTTATTTGAATTTAATATTTATTATCTCATGGGGGCATGATTAACTCTGTATCAATAGGTACATAACTTGTACATTCTGAGATCTATCCAACGTCTACCAAAGAAAAAAAATAAATCATTTAGATCTGGAACAGTGATCACAATGGAAGTTTCATTTGCAAAGGATTTATGGAGACTTGAAGTGAGTATTATGTTTTGAATAAAGGCACCATTGACCAGTATCAGATTTCCATAGGCTTTATCTTGTTTTTTCTAAGCAACTGCTCATAAACTTTTTTAATATCTTGATTAGCATGATGGTGCTACTTGCAAATCTGTTCATAGAGCTATTAATCTATGATAGTGCAATCTAGAGAAAGGAATCGCACTTACTTAGTTGTTCCTTTCATTGTTTCATTTAAAAAAACATAAATAACAAGTTGACAGGGTTTCTTTGTGCTTCTTTCTTTTCAACTAACATGTTGAAAACATAAGTATTTCAAGAAAGGTTTGTCAAGACATCATAAAAGTAGGTCTTAGCTCCGATCTGAACTTTATTGAACCCAGTTTTCATGTAATAGGAAGGAAAAACAAGCGGTAGATTTGAGTCTCGGTCCGAGTCCATGACTCAATGGCCACAGCAAACTCTTGGTGCTTTTAGTTCCTGTGTCACAGCAGTACTCAGATTAATTTAGCAGAATCAAACGCATAAAATTTGAAGGGAAAGGAATCTCCTGTGTGTCACGAAGAAGAAACTTGACTGCTAAGGCAAGTTCACCACATGGACTCCCTCCTTCCTCTCCTCTCTTCCCCCACCTCTCCCTGCAAGCTTCATCTCTGTCCCTTCATAGCTCACTCTTAGCATGAGCTTTGTGAGATAAGTCTGTTGGCAGCAGCAGGGTCAGCAAAGGCTGCTGCTGAGCAGTGACAGTCACAAATATGAAAACAGCCGAGTCCTGCAGTGACATGCTGATGAGAACTGTGCAGGCACCTGCACAGCCCACTTAGGTTGTACTCGATTCTATGGAGGGCACCAGGGCTTCTGTCGCTGCTTGCAGCAGATCTCTCTCTCTCGGGCTGAGGCCCTAAAGCCGTGGAGTTTTCAGATGACCGTACATCTCTGTGGCCAGACTAGATGTCCCATGCAGCAGCATGTGATACATACACAAGAGAGAGACTGGCTGTAAAGCTTTGGTTTTGAAGAAAAAAATATATTGAGTGGGAAGCCTCAGAATAAAGAACTGGGAAAGCTCTTGTTTTGGTTGGAGCTACATTTTTGCTGCCAGTTGCTTCCAGCCAACTAGATGAGAAAAATGAGCTTGTTTGCCTTTTGTGTATTGCTGCAATCCACACATATCAGTACATATAATCCAGAGAGAGAAAAGAGACACGTACCTTTATGTAGCTTCGGTTAGGAAGGGTGTGCTCAGTTACTAATGAAGCTAAAGGGCTGTGCCGGGGAGCTGAGGGCAGTGGAATCTCTCCCCAGGCTGTGAAGGAGCCGTGGGCGTATGCTGTGCTAATGGGGCTGGGAGCAGGGACTTGCCGTGTTGCAATAGCTCTCCAGCTCCAGCCCTGCCACCCCCTCACAGGTCAGATCACTGGCGGATCACATGGAGCTGTGCTGCATAACGCAACAACCATCTGCGTTTCTTTGCTTACCCAAGGTCTCTAAGTGCTCCACAAATACTGCTGGAGTCCCCCAGTGTTCTGGCAAAACTGCTGTCACCTCTTCCATTTCTCTGGAGCGTGCAGAAGGCATTGAACGGAACCCAGGAGCTTTTGCTCCTCATCTGCTTTGGGCACTAGGCACATTGTCTTCACTGCTTGTCTTCCGCACTCACTGGACATCCGTAGGCAAAGAGGATACGCTTGGCTTTCCCCACTGCGTGGTACAAGGCGTTAGACCCTGGTGGACTGAAGTCCTTGAGCACTGATCTCAGTGGGACCACTCTTGCTCTAAAGCACCCTTAGTCAGGTGCTTACGTTCGTGAATTCCTCTGAAGTGTGTAGAATGAGAACAAAACCCCATGAAAAGGGTTTTAGATCCTCAGCTGAGGTAAGACAGACCAGCCTCACTGGAGCCCCACTAGTTTCCGACTGAGGAGGGCTGGTCAAGAGAGTATCTTTGCACAGGACTGCAAAACAGTTTGTTTGCAAGAACAAAGTGAGATTTGGACTTTGCTTGCATTGTTAAAGTGTGTTTGTTCAAGAATGAAGTTGCAAGGTAAAGGCATGGATGGTTAGTGTTTAGGAAAACGTGTTCATGGCCAGTCTATTGGAGAAACGGGTAAAGGACAATTCATCTTCTGTCCTGGTCCTGTACTACCCAAGGGTTAGTGAGACCTGAGGCTGCTGGTGGCATCAGTTACAAACTGCCTTTCCTTACCCGTGAGGTACCAAAATACTGCAGTGTGTGGGTGGGGATGGCAGGTCCACTTCAACTGGAGTTTTCCTAACGCTTTTGAATGTATAAATGTTTGGTTTACATTTCCGATGTGTACCCGTATTCAAAGTTGGTATTCCAGGTGGCTCAAAGAATTCTTCGGATTTGTGTCCATGACAGGTATTGTTACTGATTTGTTTCTATATTGTTACATTTAGAGTTCAGTATGCCTTTATAGTGGGATCTGTGTTCTACAACCAGGGAGAAATCAGTAAATGGAGGTCTCTCAGTTACCATACATCCATTTATAATGTACTAAGTTTTAGAATATTTTTTTTATTTTCCCCTCCCAAAATAATAATTTTATTACTTTCAAAACCATTAGAGATGATGCCAAGAACTGAGAATATTACCTAAGAGCTTTTCTTCCCCCAATTTCTTTTGTAAGTACCAAAATGCCTATAAAAATTCTATATAATCATTTTCGCTGCTCCGTAAGTATATCCCATTGTATACCTAAGACTTTTAAAATGTCCCATGTGCCAGATCTGAAGGATGTTACCGATACGCAGCTTTCTGTGAACTCCTGTTCACCAGAACCCCGCGAGGGCAGGACATGCGTAGGGATGCCTTCTGGCTCTACGCAGCTCCGTGATTTACGCTGAGCCTCGTCTTAGCAGCACGCTAAGTTTAGCCGAGCCCCCGTACTCCCCCGTCCTTAGCTTGAGCCCCACTCCGCACCCCTCCGGCACTGAAGCGGGCACCGCCCG